ACCAACGAATCTCTTCTTCATGCACTTTCATTCGAAATGAAGGTCCCCCCAACAATGTTATCTCAGGAGAGTCATCGAAACCAAGTTTCTCTTCGTATCTACAAATAAGAATAGTTCATTGTCATTTCCATTCACTATAATGTCCTGCCAATTTTAGCAATCTAAGTGGCGGATTTCTCCGAGAAGTCCACTTGTCTCTTATCGACTGTAGGGTTACAGAGGCGGATGGTCGAAATTGGGAGATGAGCCAAACAGTGCCTTTCAGTAAGCCCCTTGCAGCATGTGAAGATGAGCTCTGGCTGGCTGTCATCCTAGGGGTACTCGACAGTCCCGCAGGCTGTCAGCCGCTCGCCTATCACCTTTATGATCGCACCGGCCCTTCGTGTTGGATCAGAAACGGCCATTCTGCCCAAATCCACGGTCCTCTTTCTTGTTACACTCAACGCGTTCGTTTGGCGCTGGAGGTTGCCAACTCCACATGTCCTGCTCCAAGGGCTCTTCTAGCGCCTCTTGGTCAAGCCGTAACCTTGTCCAGATTACAGTGTTGCCGGCCCGATCTGGTGATTAAATCGGCCAACTGTCTAGTTGTCGCGAGAGGCGGCCAGGCTTTGGTATGGGTCATGGTGAGAATCGGAAAACAGGTCGTTGCAACGCGGCAAAAAAGAAGCGGGACACGACGAAATGAGGCCACCTGGTAACACGTGAACACGCCTGTTTCATTTACGTGTACACTCGAAAGTGTGTATATCGCCTCACATTCGTGCATACACACCCACATACATGTCTGTCAGGCGAGGCATTATGTGTACCCTCTAATCCCATTGACCCGGAAACCCCTGCTCAGCCGTGACGAGTGTGGGTGGGCCCCAAAAATGGAGGGATTTGGCCCGACCACTTCTGCTCAAAACCCCGTAGACTGGTCAGATGGGCGCATGGTGTGGGCGTGTTGGGAAGATGTTATCGCAACATTTTACGCGAGCCAATCGGTGAAATACCAGCAGGTAGGGCGGAGTTGGAATGTCTAATGCAACTGGCCACGCATGCAAGTGCCCAGTTTTCACACAGAGCTGCTTCATCCGTATTCTCTCTCTCTCTCTCTCTCTATCTGCCTCATTCACTCACACACTCA